TAAGCCGTCTTCTGGCCATATCGGTGCAGTTGTTGCGCAACCGTGGGGGCCTCTTGGGGCGCTCTGTGGGGCCTCTTCGGGGCCCTGGGACGCCTCTGGGGTGCCATCTTTGAGGCGGTCGGTCAAGCGAGGTGTGGGCCCTCGATGTCACCCCGCCCACCCCCCCCATCGGGGGCCGCGATCCCCGTGGGGAGTGTCAAAACATAGCACCCCCATGGTCCGAGAAGGGAGAGCCTCTAACTACCCGCGCCCCCCCCCCCCCTCCCCCCCCCCCCCCCCCCCCCCCCCACGCGCGCGCCACCACCAGTCCAGGGAGGGGGAGGGGGGGGGGGCAAACCTTTCCCTGAAGGGGAAGAAGGGGTCGTGGAAGAGGGAAGAGGAACATCATTAGACCACCTGTCGCCCAGAGGGCTGATGGGATTAATTCGGTGCCCTGCATTATCCACAGAAGGGTAATCCACCGCCACCTCCTCCTTCCTCCTCCCGCCTCCCTCCTCCTTTTTCCTTATCCTTCTCTTCCTCCTCCTCATTCCTGTCCTCCTCCTCATCCTCTTGACCCTCTCTCTTTCTCCCCCGTCCTCCTCCTCCTTCTTCTCCTTCTCCCTCTCCTCCTCCTCCTTATCCTCCTCCGCCTGCTGCTCCTCCTCCTCCTCCTCTTCTTCTTCCTCCTCCTCCTCCTCCTCCTTCTCCTCCCCCCCCCTCCCCCTCCCTCTAGGATTCGCAGCGGATCGTTGAGTTGGCGGACAGAGTGACAGAGCTCGAGAATAGCATCCAGAAAATGAAGGTCGAACTGGTGACACTTCAGATGGACAAGACCAAGGCCAAGGCCAAGGCCAAGGCCAAACCCCAGACCAAGGCCAAGAACCCCAGATCAAAGCCGGCCAAGTCGCGGTGAGTGGCCTGCATCTCCTCCAATCCTTCCACTTTCCTTCCAATAATTCTTCCCCCCCTTCGACCCTCCCCCCCCGCCGCCCGCCCGACCCGCTCGCCGCGTCGCACTGCCGCGGCCCAGCGCTCTGGAATGAAGCCTCTCTCTCTTTCTCTCTCCTTCTCCTCCTCCTCCTCTCCTCCTCCTCCTCCTCCTCCTCCCCTCCTCCTCCCCCCTCCCCCTCCCTCCTCCCCCTCCTCCTCCTCCTCCTCCTCCTCCTCCTCCTCCTTCCTCCTCCTCCTCCTCCCCCCCCCCCTCCTCCTCCTCCTCTTCCTCCTCCTCCTCCTCCTGCGCTACTGCCTGAGGCGCAACCGAAGTTCACTTCGGCACCTCTAGAAAGAAATAGAGACCCGCCTGCCCTCGTCCGTGTCAGTCATGTGCCAGGACACGTCGGGGAGGCGACCTCTCCTCAAAACGTCGAATCAGGCCATCGTTCCACCCCTTTGGGGAGGTTCCCGAGGTCAATGGCCTTGAGGGTGGCCCGACCGTCTTTCGAAAGGCGCCGATCGCACTTCCTGGCGAGTCGGACGAATTTCTCTACCCCCTGTGCTCCGCACAAGCGGCAAAACCAAAGGCCTCGGAAGCTCTCGATCCGGTGTGAGTCATCAATCACAGACGGGCGCCCAGGGCAAGATGAGGTCGAGAGCTCCTCCAGGGATCTCTTCCCCACTGTGACTAGGCAGTGTGCACACTTCCAGCCCTTGGAGGTTTGAAAGATTCGATGCGAAGATTCCCTCATGAGCTGAGGGGTCTGTTCAGCCTTGGCCTTTGCCTTGGCTACAGCTCTAGCATGGATGTCGCCTTTCAAAGTGGTTCCATAAAAATCTCTAGCATTCTTCGCAACCTCCAGGGCAACTAAACTCAATCGTTTTTGAACACGCCAGGCCAACTTATCGGCCTCCTGCACTTTCCCTACCAAACTGTAGGGGGGTTTGGCTTCCTCCGCGGCTTTGTCGGCCAACTTGTCGGCCTGATCGTTGGCAAACCAGTGTTCTAGAGGAAAACCAGGACCCACCGCCGAACGCTCAAGGTGACTCTTGACCTTGACTAGTGACAACGTACCAGGGCGGTCCACGACCGCCTTCCAGTATTCGGCCCAGAGATCTGCATTACTTCTGTACTTATACCCAGGGCCATGCTTGGCCCCTTGGAAAACATAAGCCGCGTCAACTACATAAGTGGCATCCCCAGCTGTGGCTTGGAGAGCTCTGACAACTGCTAGCAGCTCGGCTCGGGGAACGGTCTGTCTCCAGCCTGCCGTACTCCCTCGGCAAGAGGCTAAGACAGACTCACCCAGACAAATGGCGAAGGCCCAACCAACACGGCGCAAACGAGGGTCCGACCCATGCTCTCCCCCTGAGCCGTCACCGCCTATAACACATCCTACTGGGAGTATATATCTCTGCCCATCCTCAGGCCACTCTCCCTCTCTGCAAATATCTTCTATAGGGAGAGGGGTGTCCTCAGGCGGCGTCGTCCACAAAATCGGAACGAGGCCTCGGAGCCAGAAGCATGGGTAAGTTTCAGCCCCTACCTTGGCTTGTTCGCAGAGGCGGTTGTCTTCTTCTAAATCGGGAATGTCTCTATTGAAGGGGCATTCCCAAAGCTGATGATATAACGTTTCATTAGGTGCGCCGCATCTAGGACATGCCGCGCTGCCTATTCCTGTGTTCTCGAAACGTCGCTGGTTGGGCCACAAGGCCCCTTGGGAAATCATCTCCAGAATGGCAGCCCTATGGCTTAAGCCTTTATTGCGCAAAAACTTCAAATGGGCCCAAGTCACAGTTAAGTCCACCCCGTACTCAACCCCCGAGCCCGAGAAATGCTGGCTGGCTTGGGCCCAAATACCCTGTTCCAGGGAAGATCCTACTTCAAAGTCGAGCCTGTCGAGGCCCTCTGCTTCTTCAAAACTAAACCTGAGCCCACGAGGAATGGTCCATTCCCCTGGTGTGTTGGGAATCCAATTCATATCTAAAAGAGTGGCTTGCACTGCCGCCATGTGCCCCTTGACCTGCAGCCAGCGGTGCTCCGGCTCCCTCAACTTGGCCAAGGGCTCGTCCCAGGCTTTGTCGATGGCGGCACGCCACTCGGGGATCCTAGGGAGATGTTCCTGCCAGGCCTGCAAAAGTTCAAGAGGTCCCCCAAAAAGGGGGTCACTGCGCTTCCCAAGACTAATCCTAATGGCAGTGGTAGCACAACCACCTGCCCACTTACTACCGCACATGGCTGAGACTTTCGCCCGCAGCTTCCTCAGATTCGTGGGCGCTAAGCCCATGGCAACGGCTCCCCAGGACACCTGCGGCTTGTAGCCAGTGTTGGCTAGCTTTTTGGCCGCCTTCACGCTTTTGCCCAGGACTCGAATAGCAACAGCTCGTTTGACTCCCTTCTGGTGTCTACCTTTGATGGTCCCTTGTGTCCTGGAAGCAGTAGCTACATCCACTCCAAGATCACGCGCCGAGAGCTCCACTTTAATAGGTAACTGCAACTCCTTAATACGCTTCCGCAATGCCACACGCACCGACGGAGAACTCGCCAGGCCAACTGATTTCTTTGAAATTCGCAATCCTTTGCTGTACATGCCCGTCGTGAGCTGAATGGCCACTTGCGTAGCCTGGTCCACTACTCCTTCTGCCGTGCCTATGTTGAGTTGCGCCAAGTCGTCGACCCAGCTGCCGATGGAATTTCGAGGAGGAGGATGCGATCGATGGACATTGTCTAACATGTCCCACATATAAATTCTGGACCAGGCTACGCTTTGCATGCAACCAGCAATAATCGAGTGGTTGACCTGGATGCTGTCTGAGAGCATAGTGCCAACCGCGAGCCACCTATCTGCCATGTGCTGCAACATGGCAAGGTAAAAGGGAACAAGGGGGTAATCCAGATTTCCAGCTAAGACTGACAGTTGTTCGCCCTGGATAAGATCATAAAACTTCTCTGCGCCCCACAGAAGCTGCACCCAACTAATATTCAAAAGTCCACACGTTTCTGCTTTTAGTTGCCGTAAAACCGCTGCTCGTAGAGGGCTGCTTCCTTTTACCGCTGCATCCCAGAAACCCGCTTTGCTACGTTCCCATGTAACTATTGCTTGCTTGCGCATCACACTCCATAAACGATAGGGCCCTGGGGTCAACGTAATCGGTCGATCTCCTCCTGGCGGCGGTTTCGGGGTGAGGGCGACGACGTTGACCAATATTTGCACTGGCCATTTCAGTTGGGTCTCCACTGCAACGAAAAATTCCAACAACTGCTCTTGGCCCTGCTCTGGTAGCGTGAGCCACTGTCTAGGGTTCCACGGGTCAGCTCCAAGGCCCGCATGATCCTTAAAATATCGCATGCCATGCCGCAGGTCTGCAACCGTGAGATCTGGCAAAGGTCGCTCTTCCTGCTGCGCATGAGCGGCTTCGCGAAGGCGCTGAAGCCAAAAAGGAAAAGGTTGCTTAGGTCCTCCAATCGTTCCTCCCCAAAGTCTCGACCACCTTTCCGCCTTCACCTTCATCATCTCAATTGGCTCAATTACCTCATTTCCTCCTTCGTCCTTCTCGATGGCTAGGCTTGGCTCCTCCACCTGCCACGTCCTGGAAAACTGATGGGCCCAACTAGCTCCCGAGGACAAGCTGGCACTAAGAAACTTCCGAAATCCCGCAGTACTTTCTTTCATGGCCACGATGGAGACCTTAGCAAGAACTTCTTTAGCTGCATTTAAAACTTCGCGGATGTCCTCCTTGGTCGAGGGAGGCGATATCAAGGCGGCACTGATCTTGTCGCCTGCATTCCTAGCCGATTCTGGAACAGCTGTAAAGTATTGTGCTACCTGTGCCTCGGTACTCCATGCTTCAATCTGTTTGTGTATAGCCGTGCGGTGATTCTGTACAGTAGTGCTCGTGCTCTTATCAGCCAAAGTAAACAGCTCCTGAAACCTCGATCGAATACCTCCCCAGAAACACACTTCAGGAGAGCGTCCAAAATGTCCAGGCGGTTTTGCAGCGATCAGGTTTTGAACTTTGACCTCAGGGCACATACCTCTCCTGTGGGGTCCTACTTCTCTTCCCGCTCGATTCAGCAAAAAGGCCTCTGCCTGCATGGAGAAGCTCGCGTACAACCTGGTGAGGTCGCCTGAGGTCGCCTCAGGCCAAAAATGATAATGCTGCGGCATCTCGATGCCGTCATTCTGCTGCTGAAACATCTCCCAGGGCTGGTCGGGTCCATATACGTACGGTAGGATTGGGGTGACAGGTACCAGGATGCGGCCTTCCAGGATGTTCTGAGTCAGGTCCAACTCGCCAAAAATTCCCAGATGTGGCGCCCAAGGTCCCTTCTGATCCAGAGAAAGCTTGACCAAGGAAGCTAGATGTTCCGAGACGACTCCGAAGTCCAGGATTCTTCCAGTGCCTCCAGAATTTGTAAATTCGCCAGGTGGTACAGCGATGTGTCCCCGAACAAATGAAGGCCACCCAGACTCCCAGAGCTCCTCAGGAGTCATGTTCCAGTCCGCCATGACTATGTAGTGCTTAGCCACAGTGAGTAAATATCCAGCTAGCTCTTCTAAAATAAGGCCGTTGGTGCCGACAGCCCCCTCGGAGTCATTCAAATAAGCTGAAACAAAAGTCACATCCAGTCCTTTAAACCTGACTGTCCTGCCTACCCACTGCGTGCCGAAAAACTGTTCTTTACCATCTGGGCCGATCTTACAGGGGTAGAGGACCTGGGAGTGGATGGTGGTCCTCGAGAGAACCCAGACCCCGCCATGCCCAAGCGTCCCTTCTTTGGCTGTGGGGACAGCAGGGGCCGAGGTGGACAACCACCCCGCGCGCTTGAGTTTCTTCTGCGCCTGCAACAGCGCTCCTCCTCTCAAATGAGTTTCGGCACCCATGTGGAGCAAAACATCTTGCATATGCTCTGCTGCTAAATAGGCCATGGCACGCTCGTTCCACTTGGTGTAGTTGGCGAAATAGAAAAAGAAATTCTGCCCAGCGCCGCCGCGTTGCCGAGCATGTGGTACACGTCCTTGGCTAAAGCCCCGTTGGGGAAGCCTGAGACTGCGCGAACTTCTGCTTTGCCGCCTCAAGGGTGGCCTGGATTTGTTCATCGGAAACATGTGGCTGCGACGGCGCCGTGGCTGATGGATTTGTTGCATCTTGCGTCGCCGAGGATGTTGCTGCACCAGAACCCGAGCTAGCCGCCTCGCCCCTGGATTCCGCCGCCGCAGTACCTCCAGCCTCTTGTGATTCAGCATCACCTCCGCCACCAGCTCGTGCTCCACCTTCATTGGTACGTCGCCTTTTGAGTGCCATCCTTGACTTGTATTCTTCAAACTGTTGCTTCCTTTCCAAGAGTGTCTTAGCCGAGGGTCCCACCGCGGCGCAGATAAGTTTGGATACTTCTTTTGCCAATGACTCTTTATGCTCTTTCCATTGCTGCAATTCTTCTGGCGATAGTTCCAACTCCGACGTGTCGAAGCTGGCGCCGTCCTCGAACTTGAGAATCTCCAGGAGCTCGGTCTCCTCCGTGGCGCTGAGCAACTTGGACAGGTTGATGGGGGCGGTCTGCTGCAGCACCTTGGGGTCGACATTCGCCTGGAGAAGAGCTTGGTGCCGAGCTGCCGCCTCTGTTGCAACTCTGGCTTTGTCACGTGTGTCTGATTCCGCTTTGGCAAGGTATTCACGGCATTCTGCTTCATATCGGATTGCACGATCAAGAGTTTCCGCTGTCTTGCGCGCTTGTACCCCAGCCTGATTGAGATCATGTTCTCGCTGGAGTTCTGGCCGTAGCTTGGGTTTGTCCACCTGCTGCACTGGAGGGGCTGCCTTGGCTTCAAAGGCTTGAAGTTCAGCTCCTGCTTCTGGATGTCGTTGCTTGAGTGCCTCCAGCAGCTGCTCCGTGGTGGGCGCGAACGGCGAGGTGGCTGGAAGCGACGTGCCTCCTGCCTGCCAAACGCCTGGCGGCGCGCCAGCGGCCGCCATGTTGCCCACCATGGTGAAGGGGCTCCCACCTGGCGTGCGGGCGCGAGGTGGGCCGTAAGCCCAGGCTCCCAAGGCTGGTTTGGGCCAATCATTGGCTGCAGGCCTGAGAGCTTTCCCACACTGCCAACACTGAGTATGCTTCTTCCAATTCCAGCGATAGCCACAAGAAGCATGCGGGCACACCTGGAAACCTTTCTGCTGCTGTTTCCCCATCGCTGCCGAGGGGGGAGAGTAATCGTGAAAGAAATGGGCTGGGGGTCGCGAACCCCTGGCCAGAGAGTCTCAAGGTATCTCTTTTCACACGCCTCAACTGCTCGAGCGAGGTTGGAAGTTAAGGAGAAGGCCCCTTGAGCCAAAATGGCTACGGACCTCCTCCTCCTCCTCCGCCTCCTCCTCCTCCTCCTCCTCCTCTTCCTTTTCCCCCCCGCCCATTCTCATCCTCATCCTCATCTTCAAATCGTCATCGCTCCCTCTTTCGTGGGCTCCTGGGAGGCCCAGGGGAGGGGGGGGCAGTGGATGGCACCTGGGGGGGGACAGGCACGCGCAGCCAGCACGCATCCGCAACATTCACCTCTTCCTCTCCCCTCGTCCGTCTGTCGTTCCATGTCTGTTTCGTCCGCCTCTTCTTCCTCCTCGCGATCTAACAAATATTCGACGCTCGTCGTCCTCATCCTCCTTCGTTTGCCTGGGGGAGGAGGAGGAGGACGACGATGATGATGACGATGATGATGATGATGGTGATGATGATGATGATGGTGATGATGGTGATGATGCTGCTGCTGATGATGATGATGACTTTGTATTTTTCCGCTACAGATTTTCGATTGCGCGCTACCGAATTTGGCGTTGTGTTCGCTACCGAATTTCGTTCTGTCGCTACCGAAATTAGTTGCTTTCCGAAAACGCCTTCTTGCGAAACGCCCTGAAACGAAGATCCGGTCCCTACCGAAATTCGGGGTGCGTCGAAATCGCTACCGAAAATTTCCGGTACCAGACCTTCTGGGAGGGTCGAGGGTCTCGTCCGCGAGCACGACAGGCAGCTCGCCGCCGCGGCCGGCCCTGGCGCTGCCGGCGCCCACGGAGCGGTGGTCCCGCTTGGGCCCCCGGCCGCAGGCCAGGCCGCCGCGCCCCCGGCTGGTGGCGGCGCGCCCGTGTTGGGTGTCGGTGCTGGAGCGGCCGGCGGCCTGGCTGCGCTCCTGGGCGATCGCCCCCCCGGCGGTGGCGGAGCTCACGGCCCACCGGCGGCTGCCGGCGCGCCCGCCCCTGGAGCGGCTGCGCTGGCCGCCCCCCCGCCGGCCGCAGCCCCCGCCGCCGCCGCTGGCGCGGCCCCGGCAGAAGGAGCCGCCGGGCACGCCGGGCTCGCTGCTGCGCTGGCGGGGCCCGGCGCCCCTGGGCAAGGTGCTGCCGCTGCGGGGGCCGCGCCGGGCCTCGCCGACGCTGGGGCCGCCGGCAGTGTGGCCGACGACTGCAGGACGCTGGCCGTCGCCTACGACATCAACGGGAAGCGGCACAGGTCCTTCGCAGCGGGCGTCGCCCTCCTGGCTCCGACCACGTGGGGGGACTGGCCCATCCCGGGCCCTCGCGCAGTGCGCTGGGTGGCGACCTTCATGCTGGAGAACGGCGGCAGCGCTATGGGCCATCACGCGCAGTGGAAGTCTAACAGACGTCGGGGCCTCGAGGACGTCACGGTCTCGAACCACCTGGAGTGCAGCAAGATCTTCGAGGCGGCGCTGTGCTACGACCAGCTGGAGATCAGCAACCTCGCCTGCCTGGAGCTCGTCGGTCGTCAGCTTCAGGCATGCGAGGAGATCCGCCGCGACCCGCTCTTCGGCACGAAGAAGGGCGAGTCAGACGGTCACGACGAGTACTACTACTTCACGGGGATGGCGTCGACCCGCGGCCTCATGGTGGCGCCGGCGCTCAGCACTTGGATCGGCGAGCAGGTCGCGCGCGAGAACGCCGTGGCCAAGGAGCGCAGGAAGGCCAGAAAGGAGCGCGCCCTCGCCAAGCCCAAAGGAAGGGCTAAGGGCGGCCAGGAGTGACCCTAGGCCCTCCCGTCGCAGATCAGACTGCCTGCTGCTCCTTGGCTCCCGGCTGGCAGGCCTTCGACTTTTCAGCCACCTCGGGATGTCTCGCCAGCGCGACGTCTTCCCGCTACCTTTTCTTCATGTTCCTGAAGCTCCTGGCCCCGGCCTGGGCGGCTGCCGCGCCGTCGCCCGCCGCGGCCACCGCCCTCGCCATTCCCTGCGCTGGGCCAACGACGGCATCGCCTCCCTCAACCAGCTCGCTGGACGCGGTGGGGAGTCGGTCGGCGCGCCGACCGCCGTCCAGCAGCTGAGCCTCCAGCACCTGGAGCGCAGCTGCGCCGCCGTGGGCGCTTGCCTGGCCGACCTCCACCCCCGCGGGGGCCTTCGCGAGCTCTGCGGCTCCGCCGTTCTGCACGGCGAAACTTCTACCACCGTACCCTTCTTGGTTGAGGGACCTGACGGCCAAGATGCGACGACCTCCGGCGGCAGCGGCTGCCATTCGGTCTGAGCTCGGATTTCTCCGCCCCTACATCGACCCCGCCTTCCGCAACCAGCGCGTCTACGCCGACTTCGTCAAGGGGATGCTGGATCGCGGAATGGCGCGCCTCGAGCCCACGACGGCAGGCGCGACCGTGGGCTTGTTCTTTGTCAAGAAGAAATCTGGCCAGCAGCGCATCATCTTCGACGCTCGTCTCGCCAACTGCGACTTCGAGCCGCCGCCGTCGACGCACCTGCCCTCAGCCTCGGCCTTCGCGAAGATGGAGACCAGCGAGTGCGACGTGGTCTGGTACTCGGTCGGCGACATCCAGAACGCCTTCTACGCCATCGCTGTGCCTCCAGAGCTGGGGTCATACTTCAGGCTACCCCCGGTTCGAGCAGGCGCCCTTGGCCGCCCTGAGGTTGGTGGTGAGCGGCCCTCGGCCGCCACTCTCCTCACCCCCGTGCTGGCGGTGCTGCCGATGGGCTGGAGCTGGGCGCTTCACCTCTGCCAGCTGGTCACCGAGGAGGGCCTGGCTCGAGGTGGGCTCAACGCGGACGTCCTAGTCAAGGACCGAGCCGCAGCCAGCCCCCTCGGGCCGACCCGCCCGCTTCAGGCGGCAGGCTACGTTGACAACTTCATGGTGCTTGGCACTCCCTGCAGCCGGGTGGCCGCCGCGGGCAGGCGGGTGACGACCAGCTTCGACGACCAGGGCTTCTTGGTTCACGAGAACACCGCCGAGCCCGTCTGCGCGACCGACTTCGTGGGCCTCTCCTCCGACAGGAAGGCTCGCACCGCGCGGGTGGCCACTAGGCGGATGTGGCGCCTGCGGCTCGCGATCGAGGAGCTGCTTGCTCGTGGCCGCTGCTCTGGTCACGTCCTGGAGGTGGTCCTCGGGCACGCTACCTGGATCATGCTGCTGCAGCGGTCGACTCTCTCGATCCTCAACACCATCTACGCCTTCATCAAGGTCCACCAGCACCAGGTCGGCGCGATCTGGGACTCCGTGGCGTGGGAGCTCCGGCAGGTCAGGAACCTCCTCCCGCTCTTCGTGGCGCACGCCGACGCCGAGTGGTACCCCAACGTGACGGCCTCGGACGCCTCCCACTGGGGCTGCGGCGTCTGCGTGCGGGCTGCGCCTCCCGAGCTGGTTGGCCGCTGGGGCCGCGCGGCTGAGAAGTGGCGCTACAGGCAGGGAGCGGCCGCCGCGCGGGCGCGCGCCTTCGAGCTGCACGACGCACTGGTGGAGGACGACC